TTTTGTATGGAATTTATTTTCACCGAATTCGATGAGTTGAATGTTAAATATAGGAAAAAAGGTATATTCGCTTGATTTTATTTTCACTGGATCATTCCTTCAGCAAAAATAGCGAAAATTAATTCCAAGCGAAAATAAAGTATTCCACAATAGTAGGAGACATAAATTTACCTCTGCCTTTTCAGGGTTAGCAATAATAAATTCCTGTTTAGCCTCATGGTATTCTACTACACAGTCAAGGCAATACGTCATATCATGTTCCACACCATCTGCCCATTCTGGAGGTGGACTCTGACAATATTCAGATAGTAAAGAACTCATCCGATCTGGGTCTGTACACCACAGACATGAACCAAACTGGCTCATATTAAACTCCAGCTCATCCATGGCAGTTTTACTATAATGAAAGACAAAAATGTATTATTGTGGAAGCAATAAAAATCACAATAAAAGTTTCAATGAACCTGTAATTTAATTGATCAATACAATTTATGCTGAAATTGAATTATTAAGAAGAAACATATTTCATTATTAAATGCTGAATTTGTACTAAAATGGAATTATTAATTACTATGAGGATTACGACGATACTGCGACGATAGTGTGAACAAAGACAGTATAGAAGGCGTATCGACTCACGCGCAGCTGAGACCACGTACTGTCTGAGTGCATACATGTACTTTGCAGTATCATTGTAATAACCTTAATATTTTACATCTTTTCCTACTAGGAATACATCATGGGAATGCCGCAATCCAAATTGTTTAGAACAAATTTAGCAAACTTCTTTGTGTTGGGTACGGTCAAACTCTGGGGGCAGCCATGTTTGTTTTTACTATTAAAAGACGCTCACACGTGTCATCTTTCCATATTTGGAATTCACATTTCCTAATATGGTGGGATGAAAATACCCAGTGCAATACCACAAAATTATGGCACTCTGTAACCTATGGCGTTACAGTGACAGATGACATGTATACATAATAATATCAAGTATTTACAAGAGAACTGGTGATGGTTGTGAACCATAACTGCCTCAGCACAAAGGCTGTTGTGTAATACCAGGGAATGTAAAGGGAAATGTATTGTAGTGTTACCTCTGTATAATTTACAATATATCTGCATTAACCTTCACTATTAAGGACAATATGGGAGTAGAAGCAAGGCTACGCAAATTTTGCAAAATAGTAGTTAGTTAGTTACCAGACATTGTGGGATATAAAGAAGTGGCCTATTAACCCATGAAACATACTCGCACATATCCATACATGTCTTATTGTGTGGGGCAAATGGCTAAGAAAGAACAAGTCATTGTCAATGACACGTCCCCGTTCCGTTCATATTTGAGTGACATATACATTCAAAGCAGATCGTGACCAAAATGCACCTGCATATGTACAACACATTGTGCTAAATCTGAACAAAATCCATCCATGCATGACTGAGATCCGGTTCTGGAATTGTGAAAATATGTGATTTTGATGCATTTTCGGCCTTAAAATGGCCATCATTCTGCTATTGTTAAGCAGATCATGAAACAAATGCACATATCTATTTGTGACATGATGTACCATGTGTGTGTGAAGTTTGAACTTGATCAATCCAGACATGTCTCGGATACGGATCCAGAACTGAATTCTTTAAAACAAAATGGCCGCCAGTCGGCTATTTCGA